CCTCACTGGTTTTCTTGGGAGTCTGGTCGTTATCACGAGGTGTCATCAACCACTGATCTCTGGGAAAAACGAGGAATCTATTCAACCAATTTGAAATATTGGGTCAGTTTGGGCTGATTTCTCATGCAAACCACGACGGATGGCATGGCTAATCGTGGATACCAACAAGAGGTTGATGTTCGCTCGGACAGGGCAAAAAATGACATCTTCGCTTCCCCCTGTTAAGTCGGCTTGATTCTGAGCAGAAATGGTGTTTACCCATCTCCCGAAGAGGCGAAACAATCTAAACATCTAGACCTGTATGGCTACAACAGAGATCTTGTTGCTTAAACCCTTCTATTCACCTTCCATTCACCTTGTGGTCTACCCAAATGGTATAGGCTCCTTTCCACCATCGCGCCGCGCGCCTGGTTGCGGCTCCTGAGATGGGGTTCCTATCCCCTTGCCCGGAAGAAATGTGAATATTCTGCGGGAAAATCATGCGATTCTTCTCTTTTTGTCACCAGCATCAAGAATAGGAGTTGAGGATCAATAGCATGAAACAACAGCTGTGCCCAGCTACAGAGAGTGTCAGTTTTCCAGCCTGATCATGGATCTGCCTGAAAATGTGGTAGAAAACTGCCCCCTTTTTATTGCAAGTTCAATAACAACAAATACTGTAATGATGATAAAGCATCAAAATTGTGGAATTTCCCCAGCAGCCCATTTTCAGGCAAACCGAGTCATCACATGCAAATATCCAGGCTGCTGAATATCCAGGGATGTGCATCCCAGTTGGTCAGTAGCTAAATGAGACAACCATAGATAACCCTGAATTAGGATCTACTCCAGCTATGGGCTATAAACCACTCACTAGCTGGTACAGCAATCAAACGTGGCTTGTTGGAAAATCCCCATTTAAATGATGTTCCGAAGTGAGAGCTCCACTGGCCAATTCCACTTCCCTCCAATAAATTAACATTGACCCTGGAAAGGCAATTGGTTTTAGTGGAACCAGTCTTCCAAACCTCCAATTCATGGTAGGGTCTATGGTAGTTTACTGGAGGGTACGTGTTCTTTTTCCACTTGCGGCCGTTTTTTCTCCGGAAATCTCAAAAGGACAACCCTCATCAGCTTGGTATGTTTCATGTCACATAATGTTACCCTCTGGTAATTTGTTACATATGTTACATAGCTATGGAAAAACACCATTGTTCAATAGCTATATCAATCATCATAAATCATCTAAATGGGAAATGGTTTCCATAGCTATGTTAAATATTCAGAGGGTAATGTTATTTCAACCATATTTACCCTAAAACCCACCCACTAATGCACCATTCGCCGAGCTTACCCACAGCTGGTCGCCTGTTTCGTCGATCTGCTGGTGGTGGTCGCCGAAAGGCTCGCCGCCTGAAAAAGGTGGCGGCCGGTTTTTTGGATCAAGTGGAGGATCAGGCTTCATCATCGTTAGGACAACATCAATGGTTTTTTATATGGTGTATTGAGTTTCTCCCATCCTAAATGGCCCCATAGATGTCAAAATCCACTACCGAACCATGGTTTTTCATGGGATTAGAACAGTCTTGGCACCTAACCAGCTAGATCATGCACCATTCTTGTAGAGTGCTTGCAGGTTTCTGCCGACCCGTGGCCTGGATGGCGAGCCTATGACTCATGGAAAATGGTGCCCATAGTTGGCCAGGTTGATTTATTTCACTAGGTGAAATAGTTGGGTTTTGTTGCTGCAGAATGGTTGCTATTAACCCTGAGCTATATCTTATTGTAATTATCCCTATCACCTATAGTTAGATGGGTTAATCAACCAACATAACTAGAGCCGACTAGGACTGTTGATTTATGTTGATTTTATCTGATCTACTGAGAGGGATGAGTGGGAAACTGAATGGATGCAGACTGGGAAACAAATCACTTCACAAAATGAAGACCCAGCTGGTTGCTGTCAGTTTTTCCGTGGTTCTTCGACCAGCTGCAGGCATGAAAAATACGTTTCGAACTAGTTGGTCAGCAGAATGCGACGCCACCCAGAACAATGCAAAAGCCCTGAACAATGCAAAAGCTCTTCTTGACTACTTGGCAATAGATGGGATCCCTTATTGGCAATCGCGCTACTGGTACAAGATCTTGTCCATCAACAGTGCCAGCACAATCCTGCCCAGACACCTGAGGGCCCCATCCAGATCTCCCGCCTGCCAGGTCTCGTTGGCGACAACATGGCTTTCCGACTTTATAGCTTGCGCAGCTGAATGCAATACTGTGACGTGATCATTGCATAAGGAGTGTATCTGAGTGTATCTTTGTCACATTAGATTCGTGATGCAATCAACACTCACAGCTACTGGTAAGACTCTGAGTCTCTGCAGTTGATTGAAAACAATGCCAGCCTTGGCAATTGTCATTGCTTGCATCTGCAAGAATGTCTGTGTGGATGGCTCTGTATGAGGCTTTCTTGGTGCTTTGTGTGACCTTATGAATCTGAAGTATTCTTCAACTATCCAAACAGATCGACAACTTCAACAAAGACCTTTGAATTGCTGCATGTAACACTCAGCGCTTTGGAGACTCAAACTCAGTCAACTACGCGTCAGTACCACTTGTTTCTGCCTACAAAATACAACCTATGTTTTAAAAACATGTTCCTTAGTCTTTTTTGGATGTCCATAGGCCATAGACTTCGAAGTAAAAAGTGTTGTGGGTTTTACTTTGGTTGGACGGTTTCAAAAGCGATTGGAATGGATCTCTGAAACCATTGTGGTGTGTCAAAGGCACGCTGCAAAATAGTGGCGAAACGTCATGGGGGCTGCAAGGTTGGTAGGTGCCCCGGGAACTTGAATACTCCGAGTCTGAGAGTTTGTTGTGTTGCTGACATGGTCGTCATATTTGCTGTTGCAGTGAAGCTTCGATCTGGTTGTTTTTTGAGATCGTAAACTGGCTGGACACCATGCTTCAGCCGGAAAAAAAAACATGGAAATCCCATGTTTCTTCACCGCAAAGGAGACGTCAAGGAGACCATGACTAGCCATGACTGGGATCAAGGCAGGCTGGTAGGAATGTATAGCAATTCCAAGGAGGTAGAAAGTTACTTACCACTATAGTAATCACAAAAAAAATGTAAATTGGCAAAATCCAATCCTAAAATAGTTATCAACTGCTTTTCTGCCGCTTTTTTGGTGTTACTTGGTGTTACTAAAAATTATATAGTACGATTTAACGTTTCTAACTATCTTTCTCCAGGTTGCCAGGTTGCGAAGCACCGCTCAGAGAGGTGTTCGAGCCTGTTCCAGCACTTGTTCTTTTCAGGCAAATCCCTCAAACAGACTTTGGTGGTTTGCTGATCCTTTTTCTGCAAGCGTAACATCTTGGTACATGTGGTAGATCCATCTTAGACCAAACAAGTATAAGTCTATGGCTAAACTTCATTTCAGTTGCCCTCCAAAGTACGTTGTTATCATTTATCATCAACGCAAGCGTGGAGTTTCCCTCAAATGTATGACGAACAAAGACTGATCCCGAGCCTTCTTTAAGGATCGCCTCATCAGTTCAATAAACTCAAAAATCCCCACGGCCCACATGCGTTGAATTTTGGGGCAGGCACAACTCTGGGCCGCTTTAGCAGCGTGTTCCACGTAGCCAGAGTGGAATTCAACTGGACATGGCTCAAGAAAAAATGCGTTTTCTAAGAGACATTGAAACAGTTGGTCATCCAGGATCACGCGATTATTAAAAGGGGATGATTTTCTGGGACTATACTATGTGGTTTAATATGGTTTAATTTTATTATTTGGGATGATACAATTCAAATCCCATTAATCCCATGAAAAAACCACTGTTTTTGTTGGATCCCATCAGATCCCATTAAGAATGGTTCACATGATGCACCTCACAGAAACATACAGAAACCATGGTGGATTTTTGGGGGATGAATCCACATATGACTGGAACAGGATGGGAGTGTGAAAAATATGAATGGGGGGCGAACCTGAGAGTAGCCTATCTTCAGGAGTTCAGGAGTTGACTCCGGATTGAGTGGAAAGATGTGTTTTTTTCAAGCTGCGCGATTGAGCCATGGCCATCTATGTAATAACTTCAAACAAGAAAACGATGCCTGATGACAGACAACAAACGATCCGTCGGGCGAAGCTTAGCTCACAGTGTATGCAAGGAAGGAAAATCAGCTGGATCTTGCCTCAAATGTGCCTGGAACTCCAGTCCTACCTCCACATTGTCAAGATGAATCAAGATGAAGTCATGAAAAAATTGTGACGGCCATCTTAGCCATCTTAGCCTCACCCATCACTGAAAACTTCTCCCACATTGTCAGCCTAAAACCATCACTTTCCAAACCTCGGCCTCGAAACAATGCCATGTGTCTGATCCTCAAATCGCTTCTGAACTTTTACCCATTCAAACTCACCAGCTGGAAAAATCACCATGTCCAGACACACCCGAATCTTGGATTTGCTTAAGGAACCCTTAAAAAGATCCTCTATTTTTTTTCTCTATACCTTCCCCAAGTAATGGAACTTCCATTGGGAAAATGAAAAATCACCGACTAAACAAACCCAAGAAATGTGGCACCCGGCTTCGCCGTGTTGAAAAATCGTGGCCCTCCAGGCCACTGAAGGTTCGGAACTGCTGCAGCCACGGGTGGCCACTTTCGGGATGAAAAATGGGAACCCTACAAATTTGGGAAGTGCTGACAAAGCATGCCACCAAAGCACCAAAGTGCCGAAAATACCTTGGGACGCTGGAAATTCTAGGTGTCCAACATCATCGAACTAACATCCTGTAAACACTCTCCTATCTTTCTTGGACTATCAACTGATACGCACCAAAAAAATCTGGAAGAATCTCGAAAATGGTAACACGTCCTCAACTTGATCCAGATTTCCGGTGCTGCCGGGAGAAATGCAGGAACGCATTGCATGTGAATTGAAATTGCAAAGATCTGTCCCCAAAAATGCCAGCCGTGATGCCTCAGCGAGAGCTGAACCTCCGTTTCAAATGATCTGATTGGATTTGATGAGGCCTCTCAGATCCTCAAGCTCATTTACCATGAAGCGGCGTAGTTGAGCTATGTCCTGCAAGGTGAAGGTTGTTGATATATAGGTTTTCCTGGTGGTTGAGCCACCAAAGTTAGGATCAGTTGGGATTACCATCGGAAACTCTGGACTCCAGCCCCTCCATTTTTGGAACCCCTTGATCCCATCACGCCAAGGTTCAAGCAACCCCCGTTTCTTCGCCGGGTCCCACAAGGCTGGCTGTTGATCACCCTACATCCACCCTGGAAAAATTGGGGTGTCTGAGGGCTGTAATCAGCAGCATCTCATCCGTCCGGTGCACTTTTTTGAGTGGTCTTTAGCACCTTCCGGAGAAGTCATTGGAAAATCGCACATGGAGCCTGTTAAGGTTTTAGATGGGTGACCTTCATGGACCTTCCCATCCCACCATGGCCCGGTGACGGGGTCCATCATACTCACCGAAGTGGTTCTCCTGAACTGGAGAATGGCCTCAGAATGGCTCACTGTCCGAAGTGGTGTTTTGCCCAGGTTTTACCCAGCCATATTTTGGAAACCAATCCATAGCTGCAACCGATGCTTCCTGGTGGATCAAGTCGTTGCTGATATCCAACATCAAGACTCTTGGTGCTGTTCCCCCAGTGATGTTTGTTGGTTTATAAACCCCACGGAATACATCAAAACCCTAGTGAAATATGTTTGAAAAAAAACTATGAATACTAGAGTCACTAGAGTGCAGAACGACCATAAACCCGAGTGAAATATGTTAAACATCACCATTCACCGAGCTTATCACTTCCCAGGACCTGAAAAGTCTTGACGCGGGGCCGAAACATGGAGATTTCACTGGTGGGCAAATTTGAGACCGGGCACCCAAACACAAAAGCTCCACCTACCTATCCACCTATCTACCTATCTATCCACCTACCTAGCAATGTGTGTGTATCTGTATATAGATTTAGATATATATATATATATAAATATAGATATAGATATATATAATATATATATATATATATTATATTATATATATATGGGTACCCCAATTGGTTTTGATAATAACTAATTTTGGATGATTTTGAGGTTCCATTTTAGCAAACCCCCATATTTTAGATACATATCGGGTCTTGGGGCACCTCGTTTGGACTCCGACGATCGTCATTGAGGCCGCTGAACCTTTAATGGGGGTTATTTATCGTTCAGATATGAAGTTTGTGACATGTTTGATGACTTTGTAGGGGTTTGTCTAAAAAGAGTCTCCCCAAAAATCCAAGGATATCCAATGGTGAATCACAATGTTCCCATATCAATGACCACTTTAATTAGGGAGTATAACTAGTCCTATTTTCAGACACACCCACATACAGAAGTTGCTCCCCTGGGAATTCGGTTCATACAAGAGCTTCGTAGGTGCCCCAGCCTGCCCAAGATACCGCGAAATGTCATTCCTAAAACCGGATCCCCGGAAATAGGACATCTTCTCTCGATCGATTCCCATGGTGGATTTCCCATTGAAAAAAACAAACCAAAAATCATCGTGGTAAACCCAGCGCCATAAATCATCCCCCGAATCACCAACTTCATTGGTGGTATAAACCAACTTCTGGGGTCATTCCTCAAACCATATCGGGCCCATTCCTGCCAATTTCCCACTCAGTAGTTTCTAAGCCACATCCACCAGCTCCGGAACTGTGAGCGCATTTCGCGAATGGTACCTGTCAGCAAAAGATTGAATAGGTATTTTCCAGTGAGATAAACGGTAAACCCATCTGACAGGATCTTTTTTAGATTTTTGGAAGAAATCCTCCAGGTTGCAGTCCCTAAAAATGGAAGAGTTCCCTCAGTAGAAAAAGTCACAAAGCGGATGCTTCAGCTGAAATGTGCTCTGGGCCTGTTTTTCCAGTTCACGAGCTTCAAAGAAGACCCTTTTTGCAAAAATCATGAAAAACATCAAGAACCAACACTGATGCTTGGAGGGGGCAGGAAATTCTGCTGTTTGTTCTTATTTTAGATATTCATTGCAAAAAAAAAATGTGCGGTGATCTCCTTCCACCTGCACACCCAAAACTCAAAATGAACCCCAAAATAGCGGTTGGAAGATGATTTTCCGATTGCTCATGGCCATTTTCTGGGTTCCATGTTAAATTTAGGGGGCATTTCAGTCTCCTGGTTGATGGTTTTCAAACATCCAAAAAAATATGCGAACATCATCTCAACCAATCATCCCAAGTATCGGCTATATCCCCATGATATTCCCATTTTTAGATTGTTAAAATCATCAAAGCTGCTATTTCAATGTACTATGGCTATAGCAATTGATTTGTTATATAATGGCTATTGGTGGCTATAACTTTGGTAACAACCCCCATCATTATTACAACCCGTCAACCAGCCAGTTGATTCTTTATTTGCAGATCTCTTCGTATTGAAACCTATGGTGATCGTCCACAACTCGCCCCAGGGTGCATGATCTCAGGATATTCCACCTTGGCGTTTGGGGGCTGGTTTGACCTAGAAAGCCATGGAACAAAGCCATAGGTGCCCAGTGGTGCCCCCAATCCTAAACGCGAAGTGCAAAAATAACTATAGTTTTTCACTGAGGTCTATGGTAGTTATAACTCTAGTTGCTCAGGTTTATAAACCAGTTTATAACTGCGGGGGCACCTTGCAGGAAAGCGGGATTTAAAGCCTGGGCTGTTGGCCACCTACCAACCTTACCAACTAACTAATATAAACATCCAAACCGGGCCCTTTCATGATGGCTATAAGTTCTAGCATCAAAAATACCAATTATTGGAGTACTCGTTCTTACCCCAACCCAGAGAACTAGAGAACCATTGAACCTGAATCGCAATGATCAATTTCAGCGCCAGACAGAAATCTTTTATTCTACCTTTTGGGAATCAAACACGTCAATGGAAAATCCCACGGAAAATCCCCCGGCGGATTTGTTTAGAAACGAACAAAAATGATTCCTATGGATCCATGAATTTCCAAGTTTCCCCAGGACCTTCGTCCCCGACCAGGGTCGGACCCATTCACTTGGTGTTGATTCGATCCTCTGTTCGTTTGTGAAATACATGAGATTTCGATATCTTGCTGCTTCACATTTGTTGCGTGAAAGAGATACCACATCTGCTGGTTTCGCTAGAATGATCATGAATGATTCTCTTTTCAAATCAGAAAATCACGATCAAAAAGGTAATGAACGATTCTGCTATTTTTTTTTGGGGTTTGTCTGAATCCCCCTGGATTTGAGGCTTAGGCAGCACCAATTTTGGGGATCCCAAAATCTCAATGGCCATCCGGGATATGTCTCTATTTAAAAAGACCTATTTTTTGAAACCCCAAGATTACCCTGGGGCAAACTAACATAGCCACCATTTACATAGATAAGAAGACGCTCAACGAACTTTTCGATTTTTTAGACATACACTCAACGCTGAAGGCCTTGCGCGCGTTCTCTAAATTCAAAGAATACATTCATTATCGATCAAACTTATGTATATATATATATCACGTTCATACAATGCGCTAGTGCAAAAAAATTAAGATAAGAAGTCAATCGGTTCCGTCACACACAGTATGTTTGAAAGAATGATGATGCTCAAATGAAACAAATGCTGGAAAAAAAACACCATGAGTAAATCATGTTCCTAACAGGAAACCCTGGTTTTTCCAACATCTTGCAGAGCAGTTTTTATCCTACCAGGTACCAAGTTCCAGTAGTTCTAGGTTCCAATCATCCGATCGCATCCCAGTGACCACTGTCATAACATCCACATCAATCGTGGCCAAGGTTTGGACCAAACCCGGATCCTGAGTCACGCTGACACACCCAAAAAATAGCTAGTTGGTTCGTGGGGGAGTGATACGATATTCTGCATTATGTATATATATATATATTTATCTATATATATATATTCTATATACATTCTGTAAAGTATATAGTTGATCTATATATATATTTTGTGTATACATACATACATACATACATACATACATACATACATACATACATACATACATACCATACATACATACCATACCATACCATACCAAAATACATAGAAAATACCTTGGAACCTAGAAATATGAAGTCAATATATCATCGAACTAGCATCCTGTAGACACTCTTCGGCATTTTTGGTGGTTGCTATACATAGATATATGTGGGTGTGTCTGAAACCAGGGTACCCCCAATCACAATGGATGAATATCATAGTCCCCATTTGAATGACATATAATGATTGTAGCTTGGTGTGCATATGTAATGTTTACCTTCAATCAATACATACATACATACATACATACATATATATATAATGTATATATATATACATACCTGCATAAAAACATTGGATGAGATAAGGTACATAAATATCTACCTTGATTGTACCTTTATAAATGATGTCTGCATGTATCAACACTACATACTATACAATTCAATTCTATGTGTATATCATTTACCTGTATACATGTAGATACATAAACTATCTATTAGTACATATATATATACATACATACATACAGTCATACATACATACATGTATATACATTAAATATATTACATATAAATATATATTGTCTATATATATATATATACGCATGTTGAATGAGCAAACTCTGTGTCCAAAAGTCCTAGCACCTGTGGAGATGTTCCAGAAAGGGCCACCCCATTATCCTAACCTCATATTATTGCCCATGAACTTATACTAAAATGGCTATAAATTGCAGGCCAATCACTCAGTTGTTTGTTGCCACTGAGAATTCCCAAAATCTCTTGGTTTACGACAGCGTTTTTGAACATCGGGATAAAACAATTTCATTTCACATCCCCAAATCATTTAGGGGATCATTTAAGCCAATCCCCCCAAATGCCATGAAAATAGCATCCCTGAAGTTGGTTGATAGGATTCCCCGGCTCATGGATTGTGATAATCACCTCACCTCAATAAGCCTAGATAGATAGATAGATAGGTAGATAGGTAGATAGGTAGATAGGTAGATAGGTAGATAGGTAGATAGGTAGATAGGTAGATAGATAGATAGATAGGTAGATAGGTAGATAGGTAGATAGGTAGATAGATAGGTAGATAGATTGATAGATTGATTGATAGATTAGATAAATAGATAAGTAGATAAATAGATAAATAGATAAATAGATAAATAGATAAATAGATAAATAGATAAATGATAAATAGATAAATAGATAAATGGATAAATAGATAGACAGACAGACAGACAGAGAGAGAGAGAAAGAGATAGATAGATAGATAGATAGATGGATAGATGGATAGATGGATAGATGGATAGATGGATAGATGGATAGATGGATAGATGGATAGATGGATAGATGGATAGATGGATAGATGGATAGATGGATAGATTGATAGAATAATACATGGATAGATGGATAGATGGATAGATGGATAGATGATGGATAGATAGATAGAATGAATAGAATGAATAGATGGATAGATGGATAGATGGATAGATGGATGGATGCATAGATGGATAGATGGATAGATGGATGGATCGATGGATCGATGGATCGATGGATCGATGGATCGATGGATCGATGGATCGATGGATGGATGGATGGATAGACAGAGAGATAGATAGACAGAGAGATTGATAGATAGATAGACAGACAGACAGACAGACAGACAGATAGATAGATAGATAGACAGATAGATAGATAGATAAATAGACGGATAGATAGATAGATAGATAGATAGATAGACAGATGAGACGCTACCCAATCCACGATTGATTGTTACTTTCCAATCCTCGACCAAAATCTCTTTTCCCAGTCGTTGACAAAAATAAAAAAAGCATTGATAAAAAAAAAACTTCTCCAATCCATGACTAATCTTCATTTTCCCATCTTCGACAAAAATTTCTGTGCCCGCGTCGATAAAAAAGACAAAAATCTAATTCGCCGACCCTTGCTGACAAGCAAAAAAACCATTAGAGAAAATAAAATGTACATGATCTTCGACAAAAATCTCTGTGCCTGCGTCGAAAAAAAAACAAAAATCTAATTCGTCGACCCTGGCTGACAGCAAGGGAAAGCGCGTTAGAGAAAATAAAATGTACATGGTACTTTCAACTAGTCTATATATATATATATACTTTCAGCTGTATTTTTCCACGTCCGGCCGCCGCGTTTTGGGTCGGTCGTAAAAGCAGCAGCAACAGGAGCAGCAGGAAGGTTCTCTGTCTCATTGTACAAAAAGTGGTACAAAAACTGGCTGAAAACTATTTTCTTTGTAGGAAAAATACAAGAGAAAGGTGTAGAGGTTTCGGCAAAATACATTACGAAAATATGCATTGTGGTCAAAATACAATGGAAAAAAAAGGTATCTAGGGCAAAATACAATTGAGAAGGGCGTGGTGGTTTCGGCAAAATACATTACGAAAAAATGCATTTCGGGCAAAATAAAATGAAAAAAACGGCATCTAGGGCAAAATACAATGGAGAAAGGTGTAGAGGTTTCGGCAAAAGACATTACGAAAATATGCATTGTGGTCAAAATACAATGAAAAAAAAAGGTATCTAGGGCAAAATACAATGGAGAAGGGCGTGGTGGTTTCGGCAAAATACATTGAGAAAAAATGCATTCCGGGCAAAATTTACAATGGAAAAAAATGGCATCTAGTGCGAAATACATAAGAGAAAGGCGCAGAGGTTTCGGCAAAATACATTACGAAAAAATTGATTGTGGGCAAAAAACAATGAAAGAAAAACGGATTCAGGGCAAAATAGACTGGACAAAGGCGTAGAGGTTGCGGCAAAATGCATTACGAAAAAATGTATTCTGGGCAAAATACAATTTAAAAAAAACGGCATCTAGGGCAAAATACAATGGAGAAAGGCGCAGAGGTTTCGGCAAAATACATTACGAAAAAATGCATTGTGGGCAAAATACAATGGAAAAAAACGGATTCTAGGGCAAAATACAATGGAGAAAGGCGTAGAGGTTGCGGCAAAATACATTACGAAAAAATGCATTCCGGGCAAAATATAATGGAAAAAAAACTGCATTTAGTGCGAAATACAATGGAGAAAGGCGCAGAGGTTTCGGCAAAATACATTACGAAAAAATGCATTGTGAACAAAATGCAATGAAAGAAAAACGGATTCTAGGGCAAAATACAATGGAGAAAGGCGTAGAGGTTTCGGCAAAATACATTTTACGAAAAAATGCAATCCGGGCAAAATACAATGGGAAAAAAAACGGCATTTAGTGCGAAATACAATGGAGAAAGGCGCAGAGGTTTCGGCAAAATACATCACGAAAACATGCATTGTGGGCAAAATACAATGAAAGAAAAACGGATTCAGGGCAAAATACAATGGAGAAAGGCGTAGAGGTTTCGGCAAAATACAGTACGAAAAAATGCATTCTGGGCAAAATAAAATGAAAAAAACGGCATCTAGGGCAAAATACAATGGAGAAAGGTGTAGAGGTTTCGGCAAAAGACATTACGAAAATATGCATTGTGGTCAAAATACAATGAAAAAAAAAACGGATTCAGGGTAAAATAGAATGGAGAAAGGCGTAGAGGTTGCGGCAAAATACATTACGAAAAAATGCAATCCGGGCAAAATATAATGGGGAAAAAAACGGCATTTAGTGCGAAATACAATGGAGAAAGGCGCAGAGGTTTCGGCAAAATACATCACGAAAACATGCATTGTGGGCAAAATACAATGAAAGAAAAATGGATTCTAGGGCAAAATACAATGGAGAAAGGCGTAGAGGTTTCGGCAAAATACATTACGAAAAAATGCATTCCGGGCAAAATATAATGGAAAAAAAAACTGCATTTAGTGCTAAATACAATGGAGAAAGGCGCAGAGGTTTCGGCAAAATACATTACGAAAAAATGCATTGTGAACAAAATGCCATGAAAGAAAAACGGATTCTAGGGCAAAATACAATGGAGAAAGGCGTAGAGGTTTCGGCAAAATACAGTACGAAAAAATGCATTGTGGGCAAAATGCAATGAAAGAAAAACGGCATTTAGTGCGAAATACAATGGAGAAAGGCGCAGAGGTTTCGGCAAAATACATCACGAAAACATGCATTGTGGGGCAAAATACAATGAAAGAAAAACAGATTCAGGGCAAAATAGCCTGGAGAAAGGCGCAGAGGTTTCGGCAAAAGACATCACGAAAAAATACATTCTGGGCAAAATACAATTTAAAAAAAAACGGCATCTAGGGCAAAATACAATGGAGAAAGGCGTAGAGGTTTCGGCAAAATACATTTTACGAAAAAATGTATTCTGGGCAAAATACAATTAAAAAAAAACGGCATCTAGGGCAAAATACAATGGAGAAAGGCGCAGAGGTTTCGGCAAAATACATTACGAAAAAATGCATTGTGGGCAAAATACAATGGAAAAAAACGGATTCTAGGGCAAAATACAATGGAGAAAGGCGTAGAGGTTGCGGCAAAATACATTACGAAAAAATGCATTCCGGGCAAAATATAATGGAAAAAAAAACTGCATTTAGTGCGAAATACAATGGAGAAAGGCGCAGAGGTTTCGGCAAAATACATTACGAAAAAATGCATTGTGGGCAAAATGCAATGAAAGAAAAACGGATTCTAGGGCAAAATACAATGGAGAAAGGCGTAGAGGTTTCGGCAAAATACATCACGAAAACATGCATTGTGGGCAAAATACAATGAAAGAAAAACGGATTCAGGGCAAAATAGACTGGAGAAAGGGGTAGAGGTTTCGGCAAAATACAGTGTTGTTTGCTTCTCCCCATTTTTCGCTCTTGTGGGTCAAGATGGGTGAACATGACCCAACATACGCCCAAAAAAGCGTTCCAGTTGGGCCAACATAGCCCCAAGATGGGCCAACATAGCTCCAAAGCTGAACATAGCCGCAAGATAGGCCAAAAGCGTCCAAGATGGGCCAACATAGGCCCCAAGATGGACCAACATAGCCCCAAGATGGGCCAAGATAGCTCCAAGATGGGCCAACATAGGCTCAAGATGGGCCAACATGGGCCAACCAAGCCCCAAAATCGGCCTGACAACCACCACCACCACCACCGCCGCCACCATCACCACCACCACCAACAACAACAACAACCACCACCAACAACAACAACAACCACCACAACCACAACCACAACCACAACCACAAAAACACCGTCAATACCGTGGTTTTGGGCTTTGGACACCAACAACAGCAACTACAACCACCACAACAACAACAACAACAACACCACGACAACGACAACGACAACGACAATAACAACAACAAAAGCACCACCACCCCCACCGCCCTTCCCTCTGCTTCCCTTCCCCCTCCCCTTTCATTGGGCCCCTGGCCGGCTGTCGGGCGTAAGCCCTTAAATCCGGCGATGCTCGCCGTGCAGGTTGTAGCCAGCAGCTAGCTTTAGCTACCCGGGGGGCGCGCCTGCCGCCGACCTCCCGGGTGACGTGGCGACTCCCGTAATTTACAGTGTTTTTGGCGCGTTGTGCTCAAAAACATCGTTTTTTACGGTGTTTCGGGCCCTTCGGCGGCCACGGATTGTATCTTCGCGATGTTCAAAAACCTCGGTTTTTACGTGGTTTTGGGCTCCAGGCGGGGTCCCGGGGAGGAAAAATTGGCATCTTGACGTGCTTAGGGCCAAGACGGGGCCAACATGGGCCAAGATAGGCCAACATAGGCCCAACATGGGCCAACATAGGCCAACATATGCCCAACATGGGCCCAAGATAGGCCCAACCTGGGCCAAATAGGGCCAACATGGTAGGATGCTACAAGCTGCAGAATGACAAGAACATCACGTCGTGCTCTGCACCTGCACACCCGCAGGGCACATGAACAACACCAACGTCCACAGCAGGGCCACGAGAAGAACAACAACGACAACAGCAACAACAACACAATGCCCACTGCACGGCCTCCCTGCCAGTGACACCCATTCCCAGAAGCATCGCCGGTCTGCGAAGCTCTACAATATAATTTATCAAACTGTAACTGGCACAAACATAAAGTGTCCCAAGTAGGTTGTCATCGACAGATGTAATAAAATGTTTTGTCGAATTGGATGGAAATAGGCCATGTTTAAGGAACACGGTTTCTTCTGTAAAAAAGAGTCTCACATTCCCACACGTCTTTTCAAGGAGGCGGCGCCGAAGAATATCTTTAGTCGATTGGCTCGAGGTAAAACAAAGAAGAAACCACTTGTTAATTAAGATCGATACTCCAACTTGCTCCATTGCACACCGTCACAACACCACATGCTCGAAGGCATCTTTGTGTCCGCCGCGAATTCTTCGTGAAAAAGTACCATGGATATTAAAATATGCCGCACGCATGCCGCAAATCTCTCAAGTCTGAATCTTCCTGGATCATCGCCCACACAATCAAAGCATTCAGGCCTGCACCAAGTCTCGCAAGACCGTGTTTTCACTGATCATCTGGTTCAGCAAAAAACTCATGGCTTCCTGCCATGGGAGAAAACAGGAAAGGAGGAAGCACATGAAATTCACTGTTCGCTCTCAATGCGGTCAATCTACATGCAATATGCTATGGTTTAATTCTATCGTCAGTCATGGAAACAGGAGAATTAAAATAAAATCCGTGTCCTGGCTGTCTTGCTGAACCTCAGCTCCCTGAGTGAACAGCGAGTGAACGTCCGGCCGCGTTTTCATCAGAGCCAGGAACTCCTCCGGGTCGAAAGGCATCAGCTTCTCGCCGTGTTCATACTTCTGCATGAACAAGCCTTTCAAGGCTCCGCACACAGACCTGCGGACACTGACATGCTTTCTTTTCCACATGGAAGGTGAGAGGAATCTGGAGCCAAGCTCTGGAGAGTTGCACTATCCTGGCTCTAGCTCTGATTACAACAAAACAAATAGACACAAAACAATTGATTGCTGGACAAAGAGCCAGGAGCTAACAACATCGACCAACCTTTCCTCTGGCAATGTGTTGTGATGGATGTTGTACACTGAGCTGTACACTGTGGATGTTGCCATGGATAATAAAATCCGTCTTGATTTGATTAATTCTATTTCATGAGGATCGTAAAACCCTGCGGCACCTAACTCCCGGTGCATCCGACTGGATCAGTCTCTGCATGAGCAACGGACAGGACCTCACAAATGGGCCACATGCCACAGGAGCTGTGCAGAATCAAGCTACTTAAATCAGTTTGGGTTGAATCAATCACCTGAGAACCTGCTACCTCAGGCGTTGGGTTTGTCCCTGAACGTCCTGACTAGCCTCGTTCATTGGTGTTACAACTCAGGCAGCTCCGAAGTCACGACGCTATGTCTGACAGCACCACATCGGATGTAGAATCCGCCTCAGACTCTGCAGGCACGCACCGATGTGGCAGGTGTTGCCCAGGTTCATGATGCCACGACGGTCAGACATCACAGCATCATCCTGCCATGCTGACGCCTAACAAAGATGAACAAAGTTCAAAATGGGGGATTGTGATTCTGAAGCATGAGGCTCGCAGGTCTCACCTCCGCAGATGATTCATCACCAACAGGAGAGGATGAGAAGGGCCTCAAATGCGAAAACCAAAAAAACACCATCCGTCGCCCTTTCTTGGACACATTGTTGCCTGAGGTTGTAGCATATTGGGTGGAAGCGGGCTAGATAATCCACTTCTCGAAGCCGATGCCATGGCAAGTATCTATTTCTAAAGAAACTGCCAAGTGTTGTGTTGGCTTCTGCGTTGGCAAAACCGATTTTACCAAAGCACTGCGTTCGTAGATGATTTTTCTCCCGAATAGGGTTGGTATTTGCCAGTCTTGGTCTAGTGAGTTCACCCTTGTACCCCTTCAGATCTCGTCGTATGCATAACATTATAAAACATGACTCAACTAAAAAACATGGCAGCCTCTTGTACCATGCCAACTATGGCCCATCATTGCTTCGGGCGCCTAATTAAGCCATCGATCCAGGTAGCAGCGAATGCACACCCAATGAGACACATCCAAAGAAATGGCCAGGAAATACTAGGACATATAATAAACATGTCTATGATGCTCCTATTTTTTTTCCCAAAAGCATCTCCGATGCTTGGGTTCTCGTTTAGGTTCTCGTTCGGCGCGGGGGAGCGAGACTGAGTGCTGGACGGAGATGGGGAGGAAGAAAAGAAGGAAGGAAAAGGGAGGAAGGGGAAGAGAAGGAAGGAAGGGAGGGAGGAAGGGGAACAGAAGAAAGGAAGGGAGGAAGGAAGGGAAGAAGGGAGGAAGGGAGGAAGGGAAGGGAGGAAGGAAGGAAAGAAGGAGGGAAGAAAGGAAGGAAGGGAGGAAGGAGAAGGAAGGAAGGAAGGAAGGAAGGAAGGAAGGGAGCAAGGGGAAGAGAAGGAAGGAAGGGAGGAAGGAAGGAAAGGAGGAAGGGGAAGAGAAGAAAGGAAAGAAGGAAGGACGGAAGGAAGGGAGGAAGGGGAAGAGAAGGAAGGGAGGGAAGGAGGGAGAGAAGGGAGGAACGGGAAGAGAAGGAAGGAAGGGAGGAAGGAGAAGAGAAGGAAGGAAGGGAGGGAAGGAGGAAGGAAAGGAGGAAAGGGAAGAGAAGGAAAGAAGGGGAAGAAGCGAGAGAGCATGCTGGACGGAGAAGAAACCGTGCAAATAGCTTGCGGAAAGCTTCGCTGGGATGGCCTGCAGGGAAGGTCGCTGAGTCGTCGTGGCGCGAAACTTGGCGAAGCCGGTCTTGGTACCCCACCCGTTCAAATCAAAGAAGAGCATGATCTGACGGCTCAGGATCAGGACCTCAGAAATCGAAATCACAGTGGGCATCCAATGAAATATGTGAACTGTGCAGCTTCTGAATATTCATATTAAGATATATGGATAGATACACAGATATATAGGCAGATATATATATGTATACATATGTATGCGTATGTATATATATATTTACATAATATGTGACTGAAATTTATTGAAAATTCATATGAATGAATGAAATCATCTGTAACCATGTTCATCTGTAACTATGAATCTGAGGCCCCGGCGGCCAGGATGTGGTGCGGCCAGGATTGAAAAGCCAAGAACAGCTGCAAAATGCATCGATGGATTGTCGTGATCGTTTTTATTTTTGAAACGTGGATTGGAATATATATTTATATTGAGGTTTGGACATTGTATTTTAATTCTGGATTCTAGAAAAATATTATGGATTGTAAAAACCAGTTGTGGATTGAGTACCCCATGTAGACAGATAGATAGATAGACAGATAGATAGACAGATAGATAGATAGATAGACAGATAGAGAGATAGATAGACAGGCAGACAGACAGACAGACAGATAGATAGACAGATAGATAGATAGATAGACAGATAGATAGATAGATAGACAGATAGGTTAGTATGACCCCTTGGAACTAATGATCCATCAACAGGTTTTTTTGGTCGAACGGGGCTAATATTGTATAAACATATATAAACAACATGTAAAAAAAACATCAGCGGGCGAGGCTCCATGATTGGGAAGTGGTTGAGTTTCATCAAGGTTTATAATATGGCAACCCAATGCCATAAAGCTACCATCTGGGAATGGTTTGTACTATCCACTCATGAAATGCTGATTCATTGGGGATGGTAAACATGGCAGGGTGAATCCCACATGAATCATACTCCATTCACCCTCCAAATAGCAACAATATCATACTTAATTGGTACATATTACATATTGGTACCCGCCCAATTGGGCACAGCCTAGGGGTTGACATCCAGGCTTGACATTAATCCAATTCATCTGCGAGGCTCCATAATCACATTCATAAAATGTTCGCGCGTGATGCCGGTGGCATGTCTCACTTCCGCCGGAAGCAACTCCTCACTTCGGCCCACGTCACGGGACAGGGCCAAGTTGAATCCACGACCAAGAATGGAGGGTTTTTCTAATGGGAAAAATGTCGATAAATGATGAGAAAATCATGGAAAATCATCTATAGACAGAAGTAGTTTATAGATCTTAAACTCCCAATGAACACCAAAGTTCTTGGCACTTTGTCTTCCACTGCAAAGCTGACACTCATCCAGCGCCGTCAATTCTTAGTTGGGCATTACATATTCCATTTATGGTGAAGGAACCAACTCGTGCAGTTTGACATGGCCATGGAAAATGGCCCATGAAACTAGATGATTCACCACTCGAGGGGTGGTTTTCCATAGCAAACTGTTAGATCGTGGTTACCTAAGTCATAGGGCTACCCCAAACAAAACATCCACTTTTGCCAGGGATTTTGCATGAACGAAACCATCCAGCCATTTTGGGGATCCCCATTGACGTCCCCGGGGTCGTCCTCGATCTTCTCTTTCACTGCCTCACAAAGCCAAAAACCCTAGCCGTCAGGCCCAACGTTGTGTAACGGTTGACACCCAGGCAATGGCAACACATGGCACCTTTGGAGGTTCCATAGTCATGGGGATCCCCAATAGCTGGAGGGTTTATTGGAAAATCCCTGGCAAAAGTGGATGATCCCATTTTAGGAAACCTCCATTTGGGTATGATTTATTTGATGGGGCTTACAACATGCAAAATATCGAAAGGGTACCGTTTTTTCCAAACGCTACATGAAAAGCCACAGCAAATCAGCACAGGTCCCACTGGTCGTGTTGTCACATCCATGCTTTGTTGCAAGATTTTTTTGGCACTATGGGGTGCACACCTAGAACCCCGGCTCTTGAAGGACGTCCTAGGCCGTATAGATCCACTCCAGTGCGCTTCTTTGGGGTCCAACTTCACTCGGGAACCAGCCTTCCTCTGACGGTCGCTATCCCATGTCCCACCTAGTGGATCAAAGTCTCACCCTTTGAGTCCCTCTGATGAAACATGGGGATGACGCGACGGCCCTCAGATGGTAAGTCTTGAAGAATCTGGGCAAATTATAATAATTCACTAACCTGAAATAAGACCATATTTGGATAATTCCCCTTACTAACCATTATTCCAGTGAGGTCGCAGTGAGGTCGTTATAATTTACCCAGAAGAATGAACCTGAAATCAGCAGGCCATGCTGGCAGATGCCATTTTCGCCTCGACACAGACATGCAGCTGCTTCCTCCGTTCCCGAGTTGTAGAGGTGTCGTCATCCATGCTGTGATACAAGGTCTTGTTGAAATTCACCAGAACGGAGAGAATGGCCACAAGAGCCACATAAGTCTGATCCTTGAAGTTTATAGCAGCCCGTGCAGCAACATGCAAGAGAGTCGGGTTTTGATCACTTCCTATCTTCGTCAGGTGTTTCTTCGGCACATATTCCAGACAAGTTGAAGATTGGGCGCTTCGTCAGCTGTGACTCCATTGAACCAAGTCATGGATTTGACTGTGCTCAACGTTGGCATTCACGACATTGCTCCACAAAAAAAAAAACACCACATCTTCAATGGGCACTTTGAAATTATGCTCCAGTGAGCTGCTAGTTTCAAACTCTGATAGAACTCACATTTCACCACGAAATCACGAAATCCGTGCTTTGATGTTTGCCTGAAAAATTTCGGCGAAAACTCCCCCAACTCCTATGGCTTGGAATCTCATCTTCCAGTCCAAGAAAAAATGGGGGGAAGGGCCCTCTGCTATTCAACCATGCTTGGAAAATTCCCCAGTTCGATGAGTTCTTCTCCTGGATCAGCCAATCCGACTGAAAACACTTCCACACTTATGTGGGAGTCGAGTGGAAAATCCTCCAAGGCCTTCATGGCGGTCTCTTCCTTGTCGACTTGAGCTGTGACGGAGACCACCTCAACTAACACGCCGATGAGCATATTCATCACCTCGGCTGGGGGCACGAAATCCAACCCCCGTTTTGGGAGGAGTTTTCGGGAACTCCCTGTTGAATGGCATGTTGTTTAATGGTAAATCCATGTAAATCCCTATCTTGATGGGAATGTTACTGGGAAAAACACATGTGTGTGTATATATATATATATTTATATGTTGTTAAAGCATAATTCTCTCAGACTAAGACATTTTTTGGCATGGATGGACTCTGCGGCTCACAGGGAAATTGTCGACACCACCTTGGCAGCTGGCCAAGATCCGTGTGAAATGCACAAACAAACAACATGAATCGACAAATTGATATGTGTAATTGGAAAATAAACAAACAACTACACAAACAAATAAATGAATGAATGAAAGAAAGAATAGACGCATGAATGACTGAACATGAATGATTGAGGGCATTAAGGAATGAAAACATAAATGAAATGTATCTATATATATATATTACACACATACACACCTATGTACAAATCCATCTCCCCTACTTCGCGCCTGACGCCCTGCCATAGCTACCCTCCGCCCTTGCCACGCGGCCGTCAAGCCAGTGATCAGCAAGTAGAAGATGCCCAGCAAATAGGTCATGGGGCCCAGTTCCAACATCCTGCAACAAGGAACGGGCAGTAAAAATATATGGGAAAATCCTCGAACCAAAAAGGTGGGGGATAAAAAAATGTGGGATATCTTCCACAAAAGCTATGTTTGAGTGGCAGTTGCTTCCAAGAAGGATAGCCTCTGGTGTCAAAAAATGCCGGTAGCTGGGAAGATCCTCAAAGTATTGCAGGATCCTCCCCCCCGGGGTGTTACCTATCAACTCTTGCCCCAAACCGTCTCCTATATAAAATGAGGTAAATGTCTATGTTCAAGCTGGAAAAGCTATGTGTAATACACACAAAAGTTGTTTCAAGTGTTTTTGTTCCTATTGAATGGGGGAGCACAGTGCACCGGGGGAGAAGTTTCCTAAGTCATGGGGGGCCAAGTCACCATGTTTCAATACTGAGTCATAGTCATCCATGACTTGTTTTTTTGGGGGTACCCCTATGACTTAGGAAACCTCCATATGAACTACCTCACTTAGATTTTGTTGAATGATATATGCAGCTGATAAACCACGAATCCTACCTGGGTCCCGCAGCGTCCAAGCACAAGCCTGAAAATCGCTGGTACAAAATATTGGATATAGAATCTATAATAAGTGTACAAGGTGCGGACCACCCAAACGATGGCTAACCTGATTGAATCAGCTTGGTAACCTTTGGTTTATGGATGTTTCATTCGTAATTCATAAACTCATAAACATTCATAAGCAGCAAAAAGTTCCCATCTGGCTGTTTCAAAAAAAATTGTTCATTAGTTGGTAACCAATTACTTACTGGTGCTTAGTAGGGAATGGGAGAATGGGATGATTACTAGTGGCTATTATAAATCATTCCCTCATTCCTTACTAAGCACCAGTAAGAAATGAATAGTAAGATTATTATATATTATATCTCCCAGTATTATTATATATCATAGTATTATTATTATATATCATATCTCCCAGTAAGATTATATATCATATCTCCCATTGCTTCACCGGCAAACCGTTCCTGGCCATCAACTCCTGCTGTTCCGGGAAGACCTCAACAGGCGCTGTGTTGGAGATGGGTTTTTGTTGGGGAGAGGCGGAACCGGGGCAACCGGGGAACCTCAGGCCTCTACCCTCTATATATATATATACGTATATATACATAGGATGGTTCATGTCTAAAATAGTCTTGTTTATTCGTATTCATTGATTCATCTAGAATCTAATCCTATAGATGTTCTTGATATGTACCCCGTCTGGTGGTTGATCATCATTCCCGCCCTGAAAATTGCTAGTTTGGGGCGTACCCCCTAATTTGAAGACAAAGAAAAGCATGGTGATGTTGGGATTTTACATGTGGATGAAATGCATCTGTATAGATTCATGGATCAAATGCACATGAAATATGAATTATGTGTATCTATAGATGTACTTTTGGATGCAAACGTGTATCTTTAGTCATAATATGTGGATGCGTATACCATATTCAGTGGGAAGGACACCAAGGCCAAACTTCTACATCTACAGATGTCTACAGGAGTAATGAGGGTCATCCATCAGGGTATTCACTAAGACTTCCATCCTTTAAAAATTGAATGTAGCTATGGAAAATGACCAATTTAAATTTAAGCAGGTAAATCATCAATCTTAAATAAGCTATAAATGGAACATTTTCCATAGCTATGTTGAATAGCCAGAGGGTAAGTGGAAAAAACATGATATATAAATCAGTAGCCCATTTTCAGGCAAACCCACATCGTTACATCATGCAAAATCTGCCAAACGACCCCGAATCTATAGTTCACCCAAAACAAATCCCATGGTCTTCCCCAAAAACGACATCACCCCCAAGTTTTGTTTCTACCCTTCAACCCGCACAAAGGGGACTAAGGCGCCACGTTCAGCATCAGGCAGTTCATGGACTCCAGGACCCCATCGTAGCAGCCGTGCGCTTCCTCGCTGCCGCGGAAGAGTTGCGTGAAGATGATGGCCTCAAGGCAGGTCAGATAGCTCTAAGGTGGTGCTCCCAGTCCCTATGAAAGACTTTATATGATCTTTGTTGGATTATGCCCATCTAAGTATTAATTGCTCAAATGGTTTAATCTTTGTTGGTTTATGATCATATAACTATATATAGTTGTTTTATCACTATAAACCCAATCATTACACCTAGTTGTGAAACATACAACTGGTTAGGGGGGCGAAAATCGCTGGAGAACGAATCTCCTCTCTGAAATACTCCCCCCACACATCCAAACGAAACTCTTAAGTGCAACGTCTTGGATATATTGATTACATGTTGACTACCCAGTCATTGGGGGCACTTAATTTGGGGGATGGGATGAGATTCATAGTTAGGATGATATAGGATCATATTTACCAAAAAAAACATTATGAGGTCTGATATGGGCAATAATCCTGTTGAATATAGATGGAGGAATGAGAGAAATTCCCATGGATGTTTAATGAGAATCGATGTAAGAACTGATGTGTCAGCAATTTTGTTGGTCATTCATTATCACTTTGATGGAAACTCTGTTGTAGAGGATGACACATGGAAGCCAAATAGAACATTCATTGATGATCATTTCTGATGTGTCTGCAAGCATATCATTCAGGATACGTTTTCAATCATCGTGTTTGTCACTCTCCAACGTTCTCATCCTTCTTAGCATTGAAACGTCAATTACATGATCCATCATGGAATCATCATGAAAGACAATGATCAGTTCAGTCATGACTGGAGGTTTCATCATCCCATGTCTGCCTTGCTTCGAAGAATCTCATGGGAAGATGCACCAACACGAAGTGGGAATATCAAGTGACTAACAATGACTAACATGCCTGAGAAATTGGTGACTGAGCCAGCAACTGAAAAAAAATCAACTGAGAAAATATGCCCCAGTTTATCGGAGGATCGCCATCCCAGTTTTAGGGCTTCAACGGATAATGAAAAAAAAACTGCAGACACCACCTTGAGTTGAACCCAACACGAGAAGGCTGCTTGAAGGAGCCAGAATATGGCAGTTGTTGTTTGATTCCAGAAAAGGAGGACCGGGAAATCATCCTGGGTTGAGACCGAAGCTTGGAGGACTTTCTGCCTAAAATAGTTGGACCATGTTGGAACCAAACATCAACCGTTGTGATTTTTCCTCCGGGTTTCCCCACTGGTTTTGGGTAGTTCTTCAAGGTCTCTGGATGTGAAGACCGCCAAGACCGCCATGGATTGGATTGGATGTTTTCCCCCACCACCAAAAAGGACCTATTTCAGCCCCCGAGAATCGACCGGGAAAAGCACCAGGCTGAATTCAACGGCCCGAAAAAAGGCAAGGGGCAAAGACGTAAATGATCACCATCATCAAGAACCTGAGGCTACACAGCTGGAATCTGTCAGCGAATTCGTACCTGAAAAAGGATGGAAAAGTCACCACTGCAGATGGAGATTTCAACCAAAGATATTGGTACTGGTTGAGGCCCACTAGTTATAAGCGGGTTTATGAATCCCATCAACTATAATCATACCTGCTATAAATCAACTTAGCTACCGAACTGGGGCCCCACTTTGTATCACCAAGTCAAATTTGGAGGATCGCGCCACGGCAACTGGCGAAAAAGGCCGTCCGGCAACGAATCGACTACGTCCCCCGAAAGATGCTTCAAACCCCTCGATCAAATGCGAATCTCACCCATATTTCACCAATCTTACCTCATTTTTGTAGATTTCTGTGGCATTCTCATGGTTATTTCACCCCCCCAAGAGCTGGCGAATACGCCAGGTCGCAGGGTTGAGAGGACCGAGCGCAAGCCCATGCTGATGCCTTTCCTCGACGGCCCATTGATTCGGACAAAAAAAAAGAGCCCCCTGTAGATATGGCAATTGAGATATAGTGATATACCATTATAATTATTATACCATACTATACCATAGTATACCATAGTATATCACAGATTTATTATTCAGATGTGTAGCAGTGTAGCATACTATTACTACGATATAGATATAGCTATGGTATAGATATATCATCAAATTGAGATATCGATACACCAGATCATACCATCGTGTATATTGTACCATTATTATACCATGTTTAGACTGCTGATGAAGACCGGAAAAAAGTATGGAAAGTTCGCCCTGGATGTAGATGATGTAGATGATGTAGATCGTTTCCTGGTGAATCAACATGTCAACATGGCTTTTCCATGGTTTTCCATATATTTTTCGAGGCCGGTTACCAGTTACCAGTTACGCACGCCAAGTTTCACCAACACGATGAGCTCGCGGCAGGAGCTCATCAACCTGCACAGGTGAAAAGGCGGTCTTCCTCCCCCTGGTGAACGCCTAAGTGTCTTGGTACTTAATGTCAACCCGGGAATAATAGATCAATAATACATCAATCAAACCGATCCCTACTTTCTTGATATTGGTGATATTAGGAGTTCTTCTTGGTGAAACAATCGACCTTGAGGATAAATCATAATCCCTACTTTATCAATTCCTACCTTACTAAGAATAGGGGTGCCATGGATCATGGAAACTTCTGTATTAAAGGAAAGTGGTGCTCTTATTCTCATCCAGGGTCGCCCTTTTCGATTCTTACAACACATCAACGGAGATGTTGACACGTTGACATGGCTCAGGCTCACGATGATGACGACCCTGCGCAACAAGACTCAAAACTCTGGTGCCGCGGCTCGTAAGCCGTTCTGCGAATCATCTCCACAAGGAATTCCCAATTCGATAGCATTCCCAAGTGACTATTTGTCAAACTTGAAGTACAAGACCACACAAAACTATGCCCATTCTGGGGATCCTAAACTACAGTATCCCATTTAGGGGCGCACAGATGTTTACAGTAGTTTGCTGATCCGTGGGGTTTTCATTTCATTTCAAGCTTGAAAGGGTCTATCCCTGGCTGCTGCACACTGCAATTCCAAATTGAACCGCTGGAAGTCCGGGAGCCAACACAAGCGCCTTCCTTATAGTCCCCCAGGCATGGTGGATTTCGCAGTGGGAAAGTAAAACTTCATCAGCAAATCCAAGATAAGTACCATCAGAAGTATTCTAATGAGTAAGAAATCCTACTATTTACATCTATTTACATCTATTTACATCTATTTACATCTATTTACTGTCAATAACTCCTTATGCTTGTTTTTCTTACCCTCCGCTAGTCAGTCACATATAGCTGGAAAATCCATTCAAAACGTTCGACGCTCGCACCTCCCGACCCGCGCGATTCGCACCAAGCGAAAGAGACGGAGAATTCGCAGCACTGACATGTTGGCACTGCCCTTGGCACGGTCGATGCTTTTTTTTCGCGATTGGTGGTAGGGTTGGGGTTAATCTATGGAAAAATCGATCTTTCCTCACTTTCCTCCGAGCAAATTTGGGGTTTCGGCTTTTCTCCCTTGAAGCGCTTCTGGGATGGTAAGCACGGGAATGATGGGAATTGGATTGGGGAAACTATCCTATAATGCCTGAACTTTTCAGGTGATTTTTTGACATTTAGGCTGAATCATGGTGCAAAATATGGGGGGATGTTGCTGATGTCATAGATGTCATAGGGGATAGTAACCTACCAGGTATACCTTAAACATTTGGAATATCTTGTAAAAAATTGATCAACACTACTTCGGGCAGTCTCAGTAAGATCATCCCCATTTTCGTCGACGCTGAAACGGCTTTTTCCAGGATTCCCAGTTCATGGATTGTGATCATCCTGATCATAAGTCAACATAATATACCCTCTGGTTATTTAACATAGCCATGGTATAGATGGCCCATAGAAATAGATGGTTTACCTATTAAAAATGGTGATTTTCCATGGCTATGTTAATTTACCGGAGGGTAATGGACAGTACAAGCCTAAACATCCGCCAACAGGGCTGTTTTGCAGCCACTCATTCTTTGCTTTGGCAGACTGAAGTCAGTGGTCTCAGTCACCCCACAGGTACCCGGTCGTATGTCGAAATGAAATCCGGCATCCGGCAATCGGCTCTAACCCAATGGGAGAATTCCGTAACTCGAGACAGTCCAAAGATGATCAAAGATTTGGTTTCTGGCCGTGGAAGTCACCATAAATCCATGGAACCCCCTGTGAAAACACCATAAAAAAATAATTACTTCGGAATTATCTGGTTGGTGGTTGACCTACCCCTCTGAAAAATATGAAAGTCAGTTGGGATGATGACATTCCCAATATGTTCCAAACCACCAACCAGCTATGGTATTTCATACGTAACTCCGCGAACTCCGGCAACCATCCCCCTTCCAATTGCACTCAGGCGGCCACTGATCCTCAGTCGATAAAATGATGTGCTCATTTAGGGGCCCCTACAAGAGTCTCACTCTAAAATAACTGAGAGGCTGTACAAATTATTCTAAGTCATGGTCAAAAACCTGAAATTGGCAAATTTTCGGACGGAATTTCTCCTCATGAACCTTTGTCGGGCTTGGTAGTTGTGAGCTTGATTCTTAAAGTAGGAGTAAGGTTGTACACAGGGTGATCAACGCGAATTCACCGTGAAAATGAGCAGATGGATCAAATACCCAAGACGACCCTAAAAAACAAAGCCTGAGTAAGCCCACGATTGGCGGGCGATCCTGGCTATTACATGAATGAGTACAAGTTGCAATAGTAACATATAGTAACATATAGTAACTAGTAACTATGCTTCCTAACCAGTTACGATCCGGGGGATGTTCCCCCCATAGGGTTGGGAACTCCGGGACAACCCCTCAGCTGCCGCCAGGGCCACGTTGCATCATCATCACCAGGAGTGAAGTGAGCCAGACCTGCTGACCCAAGTCATGGCCCCAAGGAGTAGACGACAGTGCTGTAGACACCGGCACTACCAGTTTGATACTCGGGGAAGAAGGAAGGAGTATAGGACTAGGGGTAGGAGTAGGAGCAGCAGT